ATTACCATATTTATTGTTTTGCTTCATTTTTTGGTCATAATTTATTAAAAATTGTGCACACACTTGAAAATGCATCGTACATACAATACTCAACATGAACTTGAAAAAGAGTTGGGAATGGGGAATTCAAACGTCTTCACTTGGAACTTGCCAATATAAAATATTTAAATTTGGCCATAAAACGCACTTTTGATTAATTGAGGAATAAATTTGTAGGGGTGATGGAAAAAAGGTGCATTCATCTTCTGATACAAAAATGTAGGTATATCATTATAAAATATGATCAAACTCTGTTAGAACATCAAATTTTATTCTTGAGTGTGTTTATAACCACCATGAGTATCATCTATTCTACTCTTAAAAAACAATAAAAAAAAATCAGAGTAAAATAAAGGTAGTGTGAAAAATGGGTGAACTCATAGGTTCAAGATTTATTAGTATTTGTATTCCAACAAAAAATCGAAAAAGAGTTTGAAAAACAATTCAAAATAATTTTTGGTGTGTATCATTTTTTTTCGTTTTTATGTAATTAATTGTTTTCAAAATAGACTTTTGCTTGCTACTTTTAATAGTCTCGGTTTATGGCTTCGACAAACTTTGCTTTTTTTCTGTAATAAAAAATTTTCACAAAAAAATAAAAAGGCTTTTTTCGTTTTGTAAAATATTGTTTGAATAAAAAACCCTGAATTTTTTCTTTTTTTTGTTGAAACGGGAAAAAAATAAACTATAAATTTAATTATAATTAAATTAACAAAAAATTATTTTTTTGAAAGAATCAGTTTTTAAGGGTAATCGGTTTTTTATCCATCCTTTAATTACTTTTTTCTCTATTTTTTCAGAGAAAACAAAGAAAAAAAGAGTATAAAAATTATGGAAAATTGTAAATGAATAAAGAAATGGCAAAATAACAAGCAATTTGAGGCAAAATGATAATTTGGTAAATAATTAAAAAATTACATTTTTCAATGGAAAAAAAGAGAGAATGGACAAAACCTATAAAAAATTACCATTTTTAAAGTGAATACCATATTTTTTAGTAAATATACTATACAATGTTATGTTTGATTTGGCCATGATTATACTAATATTTTGGGATTTGATCAATTACAAATGAGAAACAATCTATGAATTCAAAACAGACATAATATGGTGATTAATATTCAGTTTTGTCACGACAACACGATTAGAAATAATTGTGCTTTTTTTCTAAATAATCTTTGGTAAATTAAACGCTTTTTAATAATTATTACATTTTTGAGATGTTGTTTTTGTTTTTTGTCCCAGAAAGTCAGTAATGTTGATATTGTCTTGTGAATTGTAAAGAAGAAAACCATCTATCAAACATTTTTGGGAAATAATTTATACAAATATTTTTGTAAAAAATGTTTTACAAAAATAATGACATTATATGAGCACATTTTATGTAACTTCTTAATAAAGTAAAATATAGTTATTTTATCATTGAACAATTGTTTTGTTTTTCAAGTTCAATAGGATATAAAACAAGAGGGTATTTTTTAATACAAAATTGGAAATAATCAATTACCAAGCAATGCCACACAATACACAAAAATGAAATTATTATTTGGTTTAATAAAGTAAATAAGTAACTTTTAATGCATTTTTAAATTAATCAATACAAATTTAATTTGGACACAAACTGATAATCATTACAACAAATAGAAACATTAAATAATATAATAGTAACTTTATGATATTTTTATTAAAAAAGAATGGACCAAAATTGCTTGAATAAAAGTTACCATTAAAATAAATGTAAAAAAACAAAAGTTGCTATTAGAAGTAATGTTACAAAACAACAACAAAAAGTATTTTTATATTATCGTTGAATGTCTAAGTAATAAGCTTAAGATTTATTCGAATTTTGAACTTTCGTTCGGTGATTGTTTGGATAATAAAAAACCTGTTTATAATGAAAACAAAGAATTAATTTATAAAAGTTGACATAATGAAAAAATTCAAGTTACCCAACCAATCAAATAAAAGCAAATAACAATGCAAATAACAAAACAATTATCAATCCAAATCTTTTATTTTTTAAATATAATGATTTTTGAGCGAGGTTTGTGTATGATAAAAAAGGCAAATGCAAGTAAATTTTTGCAGTCGGCTTAAAATAACAACGATGTAAAGTTTCTCCAATATAATAAACTTAATGGTTCAAGATATTAAAAACAACATATATTAAAAATATAGTATAAAAACTATTAAAAAAGCATTGATATTATCTATCAATTGAAGCTATAAGGAAAAATTGCAACACACTTTTCATTAGTATTGTTTTTCAATACTTTTCAAAACGTCTCGTGTTTCACTAAAATTATTCTCAACTTTTGAATATCATTTTTGTTATCTGGGTCAATTTGCTTCGTCTACATACTACTAAACGAAGTAATACATATGCATAAATTAATTGTTTTATTCTTTTAATACACTTTCTAAAAGTAACCAAGCAAGTTGCAGTGTGATGTCATAAATGTTTTATTTTCAAATATTTGGATCAAGATGTCTGGTTGGTTATCTGCATAAGTTGAGAACACTTGCAACTTCTTTGTAGGTATTGTTTTGTTTCGTGGGATAAAAACTATCATCACATTAATAGCTGTCTATACAATAAAGGTCAGTGGTACTTCAACAACCACGTCTGTTGTTATCTTTCTTCAATTCACTGTCATTATAGCTACTTGCACATCAGTACCATAAATATCTACTCGTGCGACGACAGTATTCTATTTGTTCTTTCATGTTTTTGTTTTCAGTCTAGCCGCGACTATGGTATTGTTTGATGTGTTTTTTGTTATTTATTTTGGCTTCGACAATGAAGTAATTAAATATTCTGTATCAAAAT